ACACTGAGGGCAGGAATTTTACAAGCGCTTAAGCCTTTTCAGAGCAGCCTGCCGCAGACTTGCAGCGCCGCCTGCACTGACCTCTCCCTAAAGCCCCACTCGGCTGGCTGCCGACAGCAGGCACGTTTTTGCCTTTGCTTGGTCCTGCTTCCAGTGGGTAATGCCTATAAATCACTATGGATCCAGCAGCCCAAAGCAAAAGCTGCTTGTGCTGTTGTCGAGGTGGAGCAGGGAGCTCCCGTCACTCCCCTTGCGTTGCGAGGGGATTTTAACGGGCTGGAGGTCCTGGCTGGTGGGGACATGCTGAGACGGGAGGCCAGATGAGCCTTCAATCCACGGTGTCATCTTGGAAATCCTTTCGCGTCCTCCATCTTGGATTTACTGTAAATTGGGACCTGTTTTCCCTGGAGGGAAATAAGACAGAAAAGTTTCCCCCAAGTGTTTGGCTGCGTTAAGCTTTCGCCTCTCTGAGCACTGATGATTTAATTGCTGCCATTGGAAATGGCTTGGCTGTGGCCGATTCTTCCGCTCTGAAACAAAGGGGCTGTGAAGAAGCAGCCTCGCTTGGCCTCCCTGTTTCCAGCGCGAGGCTGCAACATGCTGCACTAGACGTTTGTGAGACTTGCTTTGGGATGAGCACCATGGAAACAACGATAATATTCAAATAAATAATTCAGCCATAAAAAGCCTCTCCTTGCGCTCACTTGGTAAAGGAGGTCGCAGCCAGGAGAATCGCTTTCTTCTATCCATGGCACGAGAACCGTCCCTGTTCGAGCTTTTCAAAGTAGTATTGGATATTAAGAGCCTTTTAAGGGCAGGAGGCACCATCAGATGATCCCACTACTCTCATCTTCACGGCGTAAGTCAGATTAACAGGAAATATTTTCAGTCAGTGGCCAAGTGAGCTTGTGCGAGTTCAGGGAGGAACCAGGTCTTCACCCGCCACCATCAATTCAAATATCCAAGTCATCAGTTCTGGTCAGTTGAATCAATTCTCCCTCATTTCTAGGGAACTGTTGAGATTTCCTCTCTCAAAACTTGGTTTTGCTGATGAACAATCCCAGCTGGCATTCATCTAAACTATTTTTTCCTCATAGGTGTTTCTAGAAGAAATTGTTACGATTTAGAAGGATTTGGAGAACGAAGTGAGCTCCTCCGCAAGTGAAACACTGATTTTGCCATCCTGTGGCAGTGCTTCTTAGTCACTTCCCATCCCCGTTGCATTGCACAGAGGTGCGTTATTTCCACTCCCACCTGGAGAGGTATCTCAACTGGAGATGGGGATAAAGTTGTTCCCAAAATAACCCAGCTGGTCAGCAGGAGAGCCAGGAGCAGACACCAAGATCCCCAGCCCTGACCGGGGGCTGGACCTGGGGTGTTTGGAGCCCGGTCCCAGGGGAGCTGTGGGACACTTTGCTCCAGCCCCTCCGGTCTGTGGCTGTCAAACCAAATTCGTGGGGTCGAGAGCGCTGCCTGCGCAGGGGTTGTGAGCCCAGCACATGGCCTAGCCGTGGAGGCTGGGCCTGTCCCTGGCCTCTGCACACACATGGCTCAGGGGACAGAGTCCGGCTGCTGGACCAAAGTCCAGGGCTCGGGCAAGTCCACTAACCTGCACTCACGGGGTAAGAGCAGCATTTCAGTCCCCGACCTGGCACATGCCTGCCAGCGAAGCCATCCTCCCCCTTTGTATAGTCCCACTGCCCCACGCGATCCCAGCCCCTTTTCCCACAGGGACAGTATCCGAGTCCACTGCAGTGATTTACAGCTCTGCTTCCTTTGGGGGCAGCGGCTCTTCGGAGTGCAGCGGGAAGAAGTTGCTACACGAGCACACGGCCGGGCTGGTACCCGGTGTAGGCCAGTGAGCACGGCGGCAGCAGCGGCCGGACTCCAGCTCCGTGCATGCGCTTTGGCTGCGATGCTCGCATGCAGCTAAGGTGGAACAGGGATGGCTGTGCCCAGGTCATTCCTCCGTCATTTATCATCCTAAGTAAACATGTCGAGAACAACCCAGTCTCGGACTGAAGGCGTGAGCTGAGTGTGGTGGCAGTGGGGAAGGACTCCCCTCCTCACCCACTCAGCCCTGCTGTGGCAGCACTACCGCCAGCGAGGCTTGTGCCCACGGCAGAGCCCATCTCGCAGCCGCCCAGACCGTGGCCGAAAGGTTCGGCCCGTTTTGATAGCGCAGTCCAGCTGCCACAAGGAGGGAAAAAAAGAAAAAAAAAAAAGGCGATTTCAAACACGTAAGTTGTTCAGACATTTGGCTTGAGAATTTACCCCACTCTCTGGCACGGGAAATGGGGAAAGTAAACAGTTTTGATTTTATTTAGCTCAAATCTCCAGCGTGCTGTAACTCAGCAGTGAATACACGGTGTGCCAGGCGCAGGCTGCAGCGATCAATACAACCCGTGCTATGGGAGCAGCTCAGCGGTAGCGCGTTAGTCAGAAAAGCCAGGGGATTTCTGCTGGGAAAGCATCCAGCTACTGGCCCTGCCTTCCTCCCGAGGGCACGAGTTAATTAGGGCTAATTCACAAGCAGACAACACAAAATCCACTGCTCTAAATAACACGCGGGAGAAGCAAGCTGCTCAGGGGCGCACAGATGTAACCTTTCCGCCGCGGAGTGTTTGCGCTCAGGAAACAGCACTGAAGCCACAGAAAAGCATCAAGCATCAGACAAAAAAAAAAAAAAAAAAAAAAACTGGCCAAGCGGCTTGTGTGATACACCCAATGGGGCAGAAATACAACGGGAAGAGCGCCGTCCCTGAGCACCAGTAGCCTGGTCCTTTCCGGGAGCTCTACGTGATCGCTGCAATTTCACACTTCTACAAAACGGCCAAGGGTGGAGAGACGTGTTAGGGGTGCAGGCAACCAGCAGGGCCCTAAATGCTATTTAATACCTACAAAGCAGTGCCTACGGCTTTCTGTCCAGTCCTCCTGCCTTGCTGACTTTTGCTCTGGGACCACCTAAGTCAAAGCTCCTATCAACTTTCTGAGGACTTGACGCAGCTGTGAGTAAACGTACTGTACAGTATCTATAGATGAAGGTAACCTCCGCCTGCCCAGTCTATGCTCCGAGCAAAGCAGCGCCAGGAAAAGCCGCTGGCACGGGAGGCTTTTGTGAGCTTAGGTGCAAGATACTGATGGTTGGCGAGGGGTTACCCATCACCAGGCTTTGGAGATAAGGCAGACTTCGAGATTAGCTGATGTTGCATCAAGCGGCTGTGATGAAAACAGCTCTTTTAGCATTAAATACCTGCTACTGAGTCAACCTGGGGTATGGAGTCAGCACATGGTAATTTGGGGCAATAAAATCAGCTACATGCTAAATAAAATGATTCGACTCACCTTCAGTGTCAAACAGCCTGTTTACTCCAGGGATGACACTATCCTCCCAGGCAAGAAAACAGGCAAGTCAGGAGCCACCTCTGCAAAAGGCCAGTTTGAGCCTCTTGCAGCGCTAAGGAGAGGCCAGCAAACGGAGCTCCCCAGGGCTCAGAGAGGCAACGTCCTCGCCGTTACCCGCGCCTCTGGTCCCTTATCTAGAAAAGGAGGATGATGATACCCCCTTTGTAAAACACTTATCACCTGCAAGAGTACAAATCACAGTGTATCAGTCTTGTGCTGGCCCCCACAAGCTTCATCCGTAAACATGCTGTTTTTTCTAGAGGAGGGGTAAAAAAAAAAGTGGTGGGAGACTTTGGAAGAAAATAGAAATTTTGCCATTTCCCTCTGCCAGATAATTCCTGTTACCTAGGAACAGACACACTTCTCTAACGCGGCCAGTTCTTCTCATCGAGCACAGGATGAGCATTTATTGTCTTGTGATCAGGAGACAAAAAAACCCCACAAAAACAAAAAACAGAGCCCCACAAGCGACACGAAACATCGCGCACGGACACGCCACATGATGCTGAACAAAACTGGGAGCCAGGTCCGGATTAATCGTGTTAGGAGTCTTAGAAATCTAATGTAAACATTTAAAAACATACAGAGGAGTCCAGAAAAATAAGCCACGGCAGTTCAGGCAGCATGTTGAGTCAACTCTCTGGAATTACAGTTTTTGGCA